TAATTCTGACGCTTGACTCTGAAAATCAGAAATCGCGTTATCTAAGCATCACGATTAACCAACCCTAGGAGTTTTTTACCAATTCCGATAGACATAAATTATTTTCTGATACAAACAAAAACATACAATCTTTGTACTTTTTAGTATTTTATCCCTAAGCTCATGTTACCTGATGTCCTGACATTTCACTCGGTTGGGTCCAATACTAAAACTGATACTAAAAATTTCTTCGTACGTAAAATCGCCTACCAGCTATGAAAAAGCTTCATTATCAAGCTGCCGAAAGGAATCGTAGCTTTGAATAGAGTAACATATAAAGAAGTCAAGTCACGAAAAGTTATTTTTTTAAATATTTATAGAAGTGGGTTAACCTCTGTCGCAACTTGGTCTTGTTGTCAGAGACTTAGTAGAACGCATCTTGTCCGAAGTCCTCTGTCATAGTAGCTACCATAATTCCTGAAGAGTTTGTAGCTTGGTGCGGAAAATGGCAACATTCACTGATAATGCCGGCTATGATGCCAGCGAAACGTATGATAATGCACCAAGTCTAAGATCTGATGCTGAGAATTATAGATATTATTGCAGAGGACTTCGGACAAAGTGAGTTCTACTAAGTCCTCCTGACAACAAGATCAGGTTGCGACGAGATCAACCCAATTCTATAAATGGAAAGGAGACTGCGACCATACCAGGGTCCACATCATCTTGGTCTTCATATCTCTGGTTTAAAGATATTTGATAACTAAAACATTTAAATATATTTATACTAAGTAAAACAACTTTTAATCACCTCTGAAATAGCAAATTTGGGTACTATTTAATAATACCGAGTAATCCTTAAAAAAATCGGTCTAGCTTAAACAAATTTAATAGCGAACTCAATATATAGAACTTATGAGCATAATAAGGCCACTAATTCCTACACGAAGGATATAGATTAACCAGTTAGAAGTTAATTAACAATGCGAGAAGCCCTGTACAAGTACATTGAATAAATAATGTAACAAACGGAAGATCCCAGGTTGGTAATGCACTTCTCAACATGCTTGTTTTTTTAGAGCTAAAAGGAAACAATATAAAAAAATGTGCGACAATTACCTCGGAATTTTCGAGTCCAATCAATGTTGAAGGGTTGAATGTCTTCCGGATCAGTAAGTACAGCCTCACGATATCCAGAGGTATTTAGGAGACTTTCAAACTGCGAGATCACCTTATCACCAACAACGCCAAAATAGGCGTTTCTAGAAAGATTCGTATGAACATCTGCTGTGTAACGAGGAGCTGTGCTATTCGATCCAGAAAGCCCGCGAAATATAGTCCGGATGGAGGAAAGTTTCAATGAGTCTTTACAGAGTACCTGGGGGGAAGTCACAAATGAATTCGAATTTTATCGAGGAAATCCACTACTATGACCAGACTATCTTCTGAGTAAATTATTTCCAACAGAGTAAATAGTTTCAGAGACAAAATCTCACATGAAACAACGATTCGTCATAAAACTTTCTAGAGCAGGACAATTAAGGTGGCCAAACAGAGCACAAGAAGCTATTATTTAATTATTTGAAATAACCCGTGTAATTTTCTCGCATGGTTGACCTAGGCAACAAAAAGGTACATTTTCAACGTCCAGAATCTGCAAGCGTCTCAATGATAAAGAATTTTATGAGAATATGTAGTGATCAAAATACGCAGAATGGATAATGGCGTTCAGTAATTTAGTTTGGCAGGATAGAGTGTTTCACCAAATAGAATCGGAGATTCTTAGGCGTCCAGGTCAAGTAGAGAGATAAAAATATAGTGGTATATTGCCAGTTGTGTTTAAAAATGAATTTACAGCACGGCTAAGTTATTTTATAACTAGTGTAAATTAATTTGAGGCTACTATTTTTACTTATACTAGGCTCCAGTTTTGGCTGCGAATGACAAAGCTTTTTTCTGGTCACATGAAAGATAGCATGTTACACACATAGAAATAAAACTGGAGAAAAAAGCCATCACTGATTTCATTTTGCATAAGTGTTGTCTATCACTATGAAAAGAACCTAAGAAATGTCAGAAGATACGGTCAAA